GGATGGATGGATGGATGGATGGACGGACAGATGAATGGATGGATGGACGGATAGACGGACAGACGGACAGATGAATGGACAGATGGATGAATGGACGGATGGATGGATGAATGGATTGACGGACGGACGGATGGATGAATGGACGGATGGATGGATGAATGGACGGATGGATAGATGAATGGACGGATGTGTTTGAGCCTGTAGTGTAACGCTGAGTGTGCACACAGCAAACATCACTGCAGGCGTTGTGATGACTGACAGAGCTCTACAAATTAAACTGTCTTTTTATACGTAAATATAAAAACATAATTTTAACCACAGAGACACAATGTTCATCGTCACTGTGTATGTTCTTATTGTACCTGATTACACCAGCTGACCTTTGTTTGCAGGCAGAATGACCAGCACACAGGTCAACATGTGGATTCATTTATTTTAAAACCATGCAGCTGGTCTACAGTTGCTAATATATGATCTTATTTCTGTGTATAACTGTGTGTCATCTGCATACAGTCAGTCCTACATCCACGTCTTTACTGACACTTTGTTTCAGTTTTATGTTATTTTAATTTTTCTATGTTTCTTGTTGCATAAATTTCATTCATCCAGTTTTTCAGATTTTTAATTCTTTTTTATTTTATGACTTAAATGTTGATTTTTTCAGCAGTTTCTGGCTTTTCACCAGAACAGCTGTGAGGTGATGCATCGCAGCTCCAACCTCTGTGTGTTTGTACAGAGGAAACGACACATTTATCATCTTATTACTGAGAGAACACGACACTGATCCATGCAGGTAGGAGTTCAGCTCTGTGACGCTCACCTTATGTCAGACATCATAACACTGAAAAATAATGATGATGATGATGATGAGGTTACCTTCACTCCGTCGGCCTTCTTGTTGCTCCCGCTCTTTCCTCCTGAGCGAGGGATGAGAACAAAGAGAGAGAGAAGCAGCAGAGTCAGGAAGAAAGGAACAAAAGCAGCAAACAGGAGAGACGGCATTGTACTCAGGACCTCTGCCCACGTGCCCTTCAGCCGGCGGTCTGATCGCAGCACAGACTGAAGACAGTGGGTTACATGTCGGAGTAAAAATACTCAGACTTCCTGCTGCAGATTCAGGGAGTTCCCGGCGTGACATATGGGTCACTCAGTGAGCGGCGAGGCCAAATTTAGGACCAACTTGAGATAGTTGGAGAGCAGAAAGTGTGCACGCATTCCTGAGCGTCCACGCTGAACACGTGCATCTGGAAACACGTCCTCTGCTCAGTTCCAGCAGCAAACAGCCAATCAGAGAGCTCAGAACAACCAGCTGAGTATCACAACATATGTTTGTTCTGCTCACATCACAAGAACCTCAAATATACTGTTTACTTTACACCAAGGACCAAACTCCATTAAAATATCTGCTAATTTAACATCAGTCTGCATGTTGCTCAGCACTTTTCTAAAGCTCA